AGAAAATTGGGAAAGAATTTTAACAACCAGTCTCTCTGATAAAGGCCTCATTTCTAAAATATATAGAGAATTAAGTCAAATGTATAAGAATACAAGTCATTCTCCAATTTATAAATGGTCAAAGGATATGAACAGGCATTTCTCATATGAAGAAATTAAAGCCATCTGTAGTCATAGGAAAAAATGTTCTAAATCACTATTGATTAGAGAAATGCAAACCAAAACAACTCTGAGGTACCACATCACACCTATCAGATTGACCAATATGACAAAACAAGAAAATGATAAAAGTTGGAGAAGATGTGGGAAAATTGGAACACTGATGCATTGTTGGTGGAGTTGTGAAATGATTCAACCATTTTCGAGAGCAATTTGGAACTATGCCCAAAGGGCTATAAAAATATGCATACCCTTTGACCCAGCAATAACACTTCTAGGGCTATATTTCAAAGAGATCAGACAAATGGGAAAAGGACCCACGTGTACAAAAACATTTATAGCAGCTCTTTTTGTGGTGGCAGAGAATTGGAAATTGAGAGGATGCCCATCAATTAGGGAATGGCTGTATAAGTTGTGGTATAATGTGGTGTAATGGAATACTATTGTGCTATAAGAAATGATGAGCAGGCTGACTTCAGAAAAACTTGGAAAGAATTGTATGGACTGATGCTGAGTAAAAAATAAGCATAACCAGGAGAACATTGTACACAGTATAGCCTGTTGTGCAATGACTATTGAGAGACTCAGCAATACAAGGATCTAAGACATCTCCAAAGACCTCATGATGGAAAATGCTATCCATATCCAAAGAAAGAACTATGGAGTTTGAATGCAGATCGAAGCACACTATTTGGTCTTTTTTTTCTTCTGTTGTGTTTTATCTCCTTTTTCTGGTGGTTCTTCCTATTGGTTATAATTCTTACTTACACCATCACTAATGTGAAAATATGTTTAATATAAATGTATATGTATAGTCTATACCAGATTGCATGCCGTCTTGGAGACAGAGTTGAGGAGGGAGGGGTAGAAAAATTTAAAACTCAAAAGTTTATGGAAGTGATTGTTGATAAATCAAAATAAATTAATAAAAAAACCTAAAAAAAGAAAAGAAAAAAAGGAGAAAAATCATAGGCTTAGATCTAGAAGGAAACTGAGAAGCCATCTAATCAAACCTCCTCATTTGATATATGAGGAAACTGAGTCCCTCCCAGAGGTAGTGACTTGTCCATGATCAAACAGGTAGTAAGGAGAAAAGTAAGATTTTGAACCCCATCTTCTGACTTCAAATTCATTGTTCTTTCCACTACCCTATTTGTATCTGTGAATGCTACAGTCCCCCTATTAGATTTTTCACGAAGCTTTAGAGTGGAATGCTCAACTTGGAAGAAGTGAGAACTGAGTTCAAATCATGCTTTAGACATGTCATCATCATTGCTAACTATGTGCTGAGCAATGTGATAAGCACTTTACAAATACTATATAATTTGATCCTCACAACTCTGAGAAAGAAATGATGTTATTAGCCCCATTTTATAGTGGAGGAAACTGAGGCAAACAGAGATTAGGTATGACCCTGGACAAGTCACTTAACTTTTCTCAACCTGTTTTTTTTTCACTGTAAAATTAAGAGCCCTTGTAGGGCTATTATGAAAATCAAATGATATAATATATGCTAAGTATCTTGCAAATCTTAAACTTTATGAATGTGATCTATTCTTATTACATAAATTCTATGAAGACATGGAGCGTGTCATTTTTTAATCTTGGTATTGCTATCCTTAGCACAGTTCCTTATATGTAATAAGGAGGTGCTTAATAAATGCATATTTAACTGTACTGGATATTTAAAGCATACCACGCATATAGACCCAGTCACATGTGTGTATAACAATACACACACACACACACATGTGGGTATAAGCGTTTACAAAACATGAAAATTTAATCCGGGTTTTCCTCCAAAGCTTCCAACATGAAAGCCATGTGTTGAACTGAGGGAAATTTAGGGCAATATTTGCATGTTGTGATTCAGTCTTTAAAAACCTGAAAGGCTCAGTAATTTTCTCTATTCCTTTTGGTTCAGTCCTCCCCCATCTCCTTTGCCTTCCTCCAGAGATTGGGAAAGAAGATGGGAGGAGGGAGCTGGGCCTCACTACCTTGTGCTGATCTGGAATTATTTACAGTAGGGCCAATGCTTAGCACTCAACCCATGGCCCCACCCACTCTTCCCTATCACTGGACACAGTTTCCATACTTTAAAACAAAGTCCCTGGCACACGAGTGCCTATTCCTATTGAATGATTGTGGGAAGCCTCTGCTTCCCACAGATGCTATATGGAGGGATTTTTGCACCTGGGACAAGGAACACAAACCATATGCAGAAACCCAGGAGAAAGGACTAATCCAAAAGTTGACTAATCCAACCTTTGACCACTCCACCTTCTCTGAACTCCAGTGGTACTTAATGTCTGCCCACATAAGGCTCTGCTGCATGGACTTTACATTCCAGCCCAACTGGACTTCTCGTTGTCGGGTCAGGAGTGAAGGATGCATCTGTGAAATATTGTGAAGGAGTTTGCCAAGCAGTCATCGATGCACTTAAGAACTTGGCCATCTCCGAAGTTCTTGTCTTGTCTGCCTGTCACCCTCTCCTCCTGCTATGGTTTGTAGACTTCCTAGGCTCATCAGTCTTAGATCTGGAGCTGGAAGGGACTTCAGGGGACATCTAACCTATTCTTCTCATTTTATAGATAAGGAAACTGAGGCCCAAGGAGTTTAACTTAGTTGCCCAAAGTCACACATGCAGTAAGCATCAGAAAGAGGATTTGAACACATACTCTGGCACCAGCACAATCTGGAATCATGCGCATGAAGTCAGTGAAAGAGGCTTCCTAAATATTTGGAAGACCACTGTGGCCCCATCTCCACTTCAGACAAGACTGGGGCTTGCTTAATTCTCCATCCAGATCGGTAAAACACCTCTGGCCTGTTCTTTTTCTCAGTATTCCATCTTGGGGGAATACTTTTAGCTGCAAGTAACAAATTCTTTGGAGGTTTAGGAAAGCTTCAAGGTGGGCAGCAAGGAAGCCCCAAGGAGTGTAAGAAGGAGGCTAAATATCTCTTTATTCTTTCTGAGTCTCTTTTGTTCTGCTTTCCACTAGAGGGCTCAAGTTCATTCCCAGAAAGCTCAGCCTTCTATCATCAGAAATGGACAGATCAGGGCAGCATCAATCCTTTGTCTCTAGCCTACGGGATCCAGACTTGGCAGGGGTCACGGCTCTCCGATGTTGCTTTTTTTAAAGGGCTTCTGAAGACTTCAGACGCCATTTCCCAAAATAGCCTAAGTAATTGTGGGAACAGATGTGAGCCTTCTAGAGGCTATGTTCAAGTGGTAGGCAATACAATCATTCTCTTACCATCACCACCAAGTACTTACCCCCAAAGTGCCCCTCCTTCCCACCATCTATATGCATACATCCTCTCCTACTGTTTCAATTTCATTTACGTAGGGAGAAAGGTGGGAAGGTGTGGGGTATTAATGTTGTTTAAAAAAATCTTCAGCCTGGCTTCTTGAACCTATAGGTTGGTCCTTGGCCCTACTAAGAGCAATTTTGAACTCCATGTGGATTTCCTACCGAGAAGCTGTGAGTCACAAAAAAATGCTTTCTGGACACACTTGTGTAATATTTATCAACACATCGTTTATATGGAAGATAGGGAGACTTTTTTTCAGTGTTTCTTTTTCTATTATGATAATTCTATCTTACCTCTGTATGCATCTATTTATATTCTTTTCCCCCAATAAAGCCTTTCTTTGTCTTTACCCCAAATCCCAACTTAAAGTGTGATTCCTTCCTTACAGGAAGTCTTAGGGGTCATCATTTTGATACAATCAAAAGATCATTAGTTCATAGAGGACCTAGCTTCAAATATCACCCCTTCTACCTTTTGCCTGCAGGCCTTTGAACAAGTAATTTCAGTGCTCTGGGCCTCAATTTCCTATCTATAAAATGAGGGAGTTAGATGAGATGGTCTCTGAGGTATGCTTATCTTTTAGCTGAAAGGATTGGGAAAGGCAACTTGGAAATGCTTGCACCTGAGCTAAGCTATAAAAAAGATGATTCTGATAGATGGGGGAAAGAGGAGACGGAGCACATTCTAGGCACAGGAGATGCCGTTGCACAAATTCAGAGACTTGGTGGAGGATAGGTTGAAATCAGGGAACAGGTCCATGGATCCACTTTAGCTGGAAAATATGGTATATGAAAGGAAGTTATATGAAATAAGGTTAAAGTGATAGGAGATCTGGGTTACAATCTCATCTCCAGACATTTGCCCAGCAATGTGAGCATGTTCAATTCACTTAAACTCTCTAAACTTCAATTTACTGATATGTTAAATGAGAATGATATTAACAGCAACTACACCACAGGGTTGTTGAGGGCATCAAATGAGATAATGCACGGAAAACCCTTTGTAAAACATAAGGCACCAAATGTGAACTATTATTCTTACTTAAACTACATATAATTTCCATCATCTTAACAGTATTATGCACATAGTAGGATCCTGATAAGTGTCTGCTGAATAAATGTATGAATAAATCTAGTTTCTAATGAAGAGATACTTTGCTGGTGGTGAAGGTGGTGATAATGATGGTAAGGACTAATGATGCTGGCAGCCAGGAACTGGATCTATAAGCTCCATGAAAACATGAAAAATGCACTGGCATTGTTCTATAACCCATAGTGCTTCCTGTCCTGCATCAAAGAAAGAAGGAAAGGAAAGAAAGAAGGCAGGCAGGAAGGAAGGAAGGAAGGAAGGAAGGAAGGAAGGAAGGAAGGAAGG